TGTCGCTACGCTACTGAAAGATTACGTTTATACGCCTACGCAGAATTGAAGAGAAGGATAGGCAGGTGGGCAGGTGGGTGGATGAGTGGGTGGACGGGTGTGTGTGTGGGATGGAGTAAGGTAGGTAATTAGATAGGCAGGCAGGCCAGCAGGCAGCCAGGCAGACAGGCAGGCGCAGGCAGCGCAGCAGGCAGGCAGGCTAGCAGCAGGCCACGGCAGACAGACAGACAGACAGGACAGACAGACAGTACAGCACAGACAGACAGACGACGACAGAACAGCACAGATAGTACAGACAGACAGTCACAGACAGCACATCATCGTATGCGAGCACCATCGTAGGCCAGGCAGGCATGTAGCGGCAGACGTGGCGCAGTTACGCAGTGGGAGGCAAGCAGACAGTAACCAGGAGGCCAAAAACAGTAGGGGCACGTACGGCAATAATAAAGTTTATCGACGCTGCGAGATATACGTCTCGATTATTCCGAATAGCTTGCGACCTGCCGCGGCCTCTAATGAACCAGCGAGTCTATCAATGCAATAGACTCCTTATGAGACAAAGAAGAGAAAATGCAGCTACACAGTACATACGACAGGCACACGCCGCACGCGGCCACACCACGGCCACACGCACACGCACACGCACACGCACACACACTACACGCACGTACTCACGCACCCCAACACAGGCCGCCACGCACCACACACAGACCACACACCTTCAATACGTGCTACCGGCCAGACTCCACTGCAAACCTCGCAAGACAGGCAAAAGGCTCAGCCGATCGCGTGCCGCCACCCGCTGAAAAACTCCCGGATAGGACCCCCCCCCCCCTCCCCACCCCCACCCCGCTAAACGCGACTGACACTGAAGAAGAAACGTCTCTCCAAATCGCGCTATCACGTACAGATCGTGTCGATGTTCGGCATCTCTCTGCTTGCTGCGCAGCTGTCGCCTCCCACCTGGTTGTACTTGTTTACGCCGCTTGTACTTCCTAGTCCCTCGGCGAGCCTTCGTCTTCTCGACTAGCCGCCTCTCGTCGAATATTGCACGACAGCTGCTTTCGGCGCCGACGTGCGGGTGGGTTGGACGACCGGCAGCACCTCGCGCCGACGCCCCAGCGCACACCGACGACTTCAGCTTCAACGCGATTCATCCTGCGCCACCAGAACGCTTACCAGAGTTACATAAGCCTTAGAGGAGAGCCAGCCGCTAACGATAAGTTGCGCTTCACTGGGCAGTTAGATACATAAATCCGATACAGAGGCAGGTGGCAACTAGAGTGGCTTCAGTTCAGTAGAGGCAACACCTACCAGCAGGCAGGTCAAACTCAGAGGTGCTTCAGTGTCTTATTAAGACATCAACCGATGACAGAGCAGGCAGGCAACTTAGACGTGGCTTCAGTCAGATAGACATAACCATAGACAGAGCAGGGCAAACTAGAGGTGCGCGTCAGTGTCTCAAGTAGAGGCCATAACCGATTGACAGAGCAGGGCAACTAGGGTGGCTTCAGTGTTCTAGTTAAGACTATAACCGAGACCCAGAGGCCACACAACTAGCAGGTGGCTTCCAGTGGCTAGTAGAGACATAACCATGACAGCCACGGGCAACTAGAAGTAGCTTCTAGTCTAGTCAGAGCATAAACAGACAATCAGCGACGAACTAGACATGTGCTTCAGTATCTGACGTAGACTCACATAAACCGATGACAGCGCAGGGCACACTAGACCGTACTTCAGTGTTCTAGCTAAGGCATAACCGATACAGAGGCAAGCGGCAACTAAAGGTGGCTCAGTGTCTAGCTAGAAGACATAACGATTACAGGACGCAGGCACTAAGAAGTGGCCTTCAGTGTCTATAGAGACATAACGATGACATTCTTTATGACAGGAGGCAGGACAACTAGAGGTGGCTTCAGTGTCTAGTAGAGACATAACCGATGACAGGAGGCAGGGCAACTAGAGGTGGCTTCAGTGTCTAGTAGAGACATAACCGATGACAGGAGGCAGGACAACTAGAGGTGGCTTCAGTGTCTAGTAGAGGCATAACCGATGACAGGAAGCAGTGGCTAGTAGAGACATAATCGATGACAGGCGGCAGGGCAACTAGAGGTGGTTTCAGTGAGGAGTAGAGATGGTAACAGTGAAAAGCAATAGCGAAACTAGCGGGGGCTACAGTGTGGATTAGATACTGGTAACAAGAGATCGCTGCTAAACCCTGGTGGCTGCAGTAAACAGTATGGAGGCCGGGAACGGGAACAGCAGATAAACCAGTGTGCCCTTAGTAGAGAGTATGAAGACTGGGAACAGGAGGTAGCAGGTAAATCAGTGCGGCTCCAGTAATAGAGTATAGGTGTTGGGAACGGGAGAAAGCATGCAGCTAACCCAGTGTGGCTTCAGTATAGAGTATAGGGGCTGGGAACAGGAGACTGCAGCTAAACCAGTGTGGCTTCAGTATAG